TGTGGATACTGAGGGTGGTTTCTGATAAATAATTCTATTTAATTTTATCTTGGAGGAAGTTCTAGAATTCATTTCTCTCTGCAAGAGATTAGGAAGTAATGTATAACAGTGTATGTTAGAGAAAGCATCCTAATGTTGAATTAGGCAGAAATTCAAGTGTGGAAAAAAATTTTTTTAATTCAAATGTGATTAGTAGTCTATTACAAAAAATAATAGTATTTGTATAAAATATATTCTAAGGATTGAGAAATAAGTTTAAAATTAAAAGTTTGAATGATAGAGTATTTTATTGGTGTATCTTGTAATCTTAACTGGTCTTAATAAAATACTGCTAAGTATGATTATTTGGGGGAATGCCTTTGAATTAATAGATTAAAAAAATATGGCATTTTATTAGGAAATTTTATATGTAAATGCCTTCTAAATAGAAAGACATTACTTGTAGCAAAGTAAATATTTCTCATAATTATGAACCCTTTCTGCTTAACATATCTTCCTCTACAATCAAGTCTTCAAAATCTCCTGTCTCCTATTAAATTCTCTCTTACCATTTGTGTTTCCTATATAGATTTTTCTTCTTTCTTTCTAGCACTGTTCTCCAAACATCTACCCCCTTTTTTAGTTCCAAATAAAAATCAATAATATAAAGCAGTTGGATAAAATTACATTGTGGTCCTCATTAAAACATAGTATCCTTCCCTGTGATTATGTGAGTTATGCTTACTGTTTATTGATATCCATATCACTGGGTTTATATAGTTAGTTTGTGGTGCTATTTGTTCGTTTGTTTTCTTGATTAGGTAATATAGAGACTGTTTCTCAAGTTTTCTTTAACAAGAGATTAAATAAACCAGTTTTTCTTTTCTGCTTTGTAGATTTCTTGATAACCGGCTGTTTGCTACCTGCTCTGATGACACTACAATAGCACTATGGGATCTGAGAAAACTCAACACCAAAGTATGCACTTTACACGGTCACACTAGCTGGGTGAAGAACATCGAATATGATACTAATACAAGACTCTTAGTAACATCAGGATTTGATGGAAATGTCATTATTTGGGACACCAACAGGTTTGTGAATAGGAGACCATGTTAGGATTGTGAACAACAACAAAATTTTTTTAAAGATTTATTTATTTGAGGGATCCCTGGGTAGCTCAGTGGTTTGGCGCCTGCCTTTGGCCCAGGGCGCGATCCTGGAGACCCGGGATCGAATCCCACGTCGGGCTCCCGGTGCATGGAGCCTGCTTCTCCCTCTGCCTATGTCTCTGCCTCTCTCTCTCTCTCACTGTGTGCCTATCATAAAAAAAAAAAAAAAAAAAAAAGATTTATTTATTTGACAGAGAGACTGAGTGAGCATGTGGAGAGGTGAAGCAAAGGGAGAGGAGAGAGAGAATCTCAAGCAGACTCTCCATTGAGCACAGAACCCAGTGTGGGACTCAGTCTTATAACCCCCAGAGATCATGACCTGAGCTGAAATCAAGAGTTGAACATTTAACTGACTGAGCCACCCAGGTGCCCCCCAAAAATATTTGTTTAAGATGGGGTAAACAAAGTCAGTGTTTTGTCTTAGCTTTCATATCTCTTTAGGAGAAAGAACCTAACTTTGAGGAAAACAATCAAAAAATGATTCCATTTTTTATTACTTGCACTTAGTCATATAATAAAACTAAAAAATTTGGAGAAAATTATATGGTAAAGAGACCAAGTAGTTATCGTTAATGATGAAAACTGGTTTATACATGAGTTTCCTGAATTTAAGGGAAAATATTTTTATTTCTTCTGTGGAACTGAAATATTTTTTATTCCTCAACCTTTCATTTCTAAACCTATTTAATTTTGTAATTTTTGTACCCTTATTCATGCATTAAAATAATAGTTTCTCAGGTGGAATGGTACTGATCTATAGGGAAATGTTTGGAAATAATGTGTGGTGCAGTTTTGACACCACTGGGAGAAGAAAGGATTTCTACTAGCATTTTACAACAGGGATCAGAGTTTTTAAATATCCTGTATGGGACAGTTTGCACAGTAGACTAGTCCCATCTAAAATGTCAGTAATGCCTCTGTTGTGAAACACTTCAATGAAATGTCTCCTGTAGAGAAATTGATTATTTAAAGAGTTGAAGTTTGGGGCACCTGGATGGCTCACTTGGTTAAGTGTCTCTTGATCTCAGCTCAGGTCTTTTTTTTTTTTTTTTCCAGCTCAGGTCTTGATCTCAGGGTGGTTAGTTCAAGCCCTACATTGGGCTCTATGCTGGGTGTGGTGACTACATAAAAAAAAAATAATAATAATCAAGAAAAAGAGTTGAAGTTTGAGAAATATTGAAAATATACCTGTTGCTAGCTATAGTGAAATGACAATACAATAATACACCAGGCCTACTTCTGAAATACTCTTTTCAGAGGTCATATATTAAAAGAAAGGGATATTCTTAAAGATTTCTAACTATACATACTGTTTGAGCAGAGGATATGTGGATCTCTTTAGACTAAGATAAGTATATCTGTTAAAATTTAGAAGTTTATTTTTTAAATTTAGAAATGAAATTTGAATAGGCATATGAATGGTAACTTCCAAATTAGTCAACAAAAACTAGTAAAACATGATCAATCCAATAGAGGCAGAGAAGGTGGAAAATCATTTTTAAAAAAGAGAGAAATCAGGAAGCACAAAAATATGGAGGCAGAAGATCCAAATACCAATAATTGCAGTAAATACATATTTACTAAAGATAGATAGGGTTAGATTGGATTAAAAAAGAAAACCAAACTATGTTCTTTGTAAGGAACACACATCTAAAACATGCAAAGGAGAAAGTCTGAAAGTAAAAAGATGGAGAAAAAATAACAGGCAAATGCAAATCAAAGAAAGAGTTATATGTACGTTAATAGCAGACAAAATAGAGTTTAAGGCATAAAGCATTATTAGTGATAAAAAGGTATTTTATATTAAAAGATTTATTTCACTAGAACATAAAAGAATTCTTATATGTACTTAATAACATAGCTTCAAACCATAAAAAGCAAAATAGACAGAATTAGAAGAAAAAAGTGAGACTCCCCATCTTAGTGGAAAATATTAACACCATTCTCTAATTAACTAATAGATAAAATAGACCAAAAAATTAGTAAGGCCATAGGAGATTTTACTGTAATAAACTTTTATTAAGCATATTTACAATTCTCCCAGCAAATAGTAAATACATCTTCTGAAGCTAACTTAGAATATGTACAAAAATAGAGCATATACTAGACTACAAAGTGAGTTGCAACCAATATCAAAGATTTGTTATCACAAAAATGATTTTTCCTGACCTCAGTATAGTTTAACATAGCTAACTAAAAATTCCCATGTTTGGAGACTTATAAACTCACTTCCTAAATAATTCGTGGATTGAAGAAATCATAGGGAAATCAGTAGGCTAAAAATTAGTGAACTAATAAGCATTTTGCTAAAAAAAAAAAAAACTGGAAAAAGATAAAAAAAAGAGTAAACCCAATGAAAGATATGGAATAATAAACATAAAAGCAGAAGTTAATGAAAATGAAAATACAATAAAGTTTTTTTTAAAGCCTGCTTTTTGAAAAAGCTAATTGAATATGCAATTATCTAGGAAGATTCATCCAGAGAAATAAGACAAAAGGATAATTTTTTTTTCTATAAATTAATTTTTATTGGTGTTCAATTTACCAACATACAGAATAACACCCAGTGCTCATCCCGTCAAGTGTCCCCCTCCGTGCCCGTCACCCATTCACCCCCACCCCCCGCCCTCCTCCCCTTCCACCACCCCTAGTTCATTTCCCAGAGTTAGAAGTCTTTATGTTCTGTGTCCCTTTCTGATATCTCCCACACATTTCTTCTCCCTTCCCCTATATTCCCCCTCACTATTATTCATATTCCCCAAATGAGTGAGAACATACACTGTTTGACAAAAGGATAATCTTAATAAAAAAAGGAAACAACAAAAAAATATACAGTAAAGTAATAAGATCACCTTTATGCCAGTATACTTGAAAACTTTGGTGAAATAGTTTATTCAAAAAATACACCTTAGCAAAACTTGATCAAGAGAGAAATCGAAAATTTGAAATACACCTATTACCTGGACTGATATTTAACCAGTATGCACTGATTTAGCTGAAGTCATGGTTAAAATATTAAACTAATACTTTTGTAGTTATTACAAACGTTAAATGTGGTAACTGTAGTTAAATGATAAATAGCCAGTATCCTAAATCATCCCCAGGTAGTTGTATCCTGGCACCCTGTGGTTACATGGGCCCCTCTTTTAGGGATACCTCCCTCAAGATCTCCCTATGATCTAGTAGCTAAAGTCCCCCTTAAACTACCCTCACCTAAAAAAACCAAACAAACAAACAAAAAAAAACCCCAAAAAACAAAAAACTACCCTCACCTTCCCCCTCTTTTTTTTTTTTTTTTTTTTTTGGTTGTTCAGCATCTCATTTAATTCTGAGAACAGCCTCATGAGTTAGTTAACTTTTTTCCCATTTTAGAGCTAAAGAGATCAAGGTCAGAGAGTTTGGGTAACATGCCCACATGACTGTCAATAAGACAGTAAAATATGAGCCAAGAGTCAAACCCTGGTTTATAGACAGCCAAGATGTACCCTTTGCTTATGGGAGTTTTAAAATTTTAGAGTAGAGTGATTCTAGGACCCAGTTCCAACACTGTCAATTGCATCAAATCTGACTGCTAGTTTTCATGCATTGCTTTCTGGTTACTTAAATATTCTAAATATTGCCTCTGCCATAGCCATTAAAGAAATGGAAAATATCAATTAAAATTTATTTACTAAGAAAACAGTAGGCTTGTTAGTTTTACAGGTGACTTCTACAAGATGGTACAAGAAGCAGAACAGTTCAATTTTATTAACTGTTCAGATGCCAGAAGTAAGGGGAATTCTCCTTACTTCATGTATGTAGTATAACCTATACATAAAATCAAGCTTTTCCAAGTCCATAGCGGTAGTGTCGTGGCGGCCTGAGCCAGGGGTGTCGCGTCAAGATGCTTCAAAACCTTGTTAAAAATGTTTGGGTCCCCATGAAGCCCTACTATACCCAAACTTACCAGGAAATTTGGTTAGGAATGGGGTTGATGAGTGCCATCATTTATAAAATCAGGAGTGCTGATAAAAGAAGTAAAGCTTTGAAAGCCTCGAGTCCTGCCCCTGCTCATGGCCATCATTAACCAGCTCGGGGAACACATGAGATGGAACGTCAGTCTGGCTGTAAATCTCTGCATGCTCTGCTAGTTGGGAACATGGAGCCCCGACGTACACGTGTACACGTGTCTGCTGCGGCATGAATAAATGTAACTGTGAGGTGAAAAAAAAAATCAAGAAAGATAACTAAGAAAAAAATTGAAATGTCTTTCTGTAATATGAATATAGATACAAATATTGTAAATAAAAGGAAACTGAATCCTGTAAGATATTAATCAAAATATCATGGCCAAGTTAGGTTTATGCAAGGAATGAAAGAATGATGTATCTGGGGCCCTGGCTAGCTCAGTAGGAAAAGCATGTGAATCTTGATCTTGGGGTCCTGAGTTCGATCCCCATGTTGGGTGTATTAAAAAGGTTATTTAAAGGTTATTTAAAATCTTAAAAAAGATACATCAATAAAAGTTCTATTAATATAATTTATCACATGAACAAGTCCATATGATTGTTTAAATCAAGGAGTAAAATTCAATATTTGATCATAATTAAAAACAAAAGAAGAGACATTGTTACCAGTATTATAGAGATTAGAAAGATTATAAAGGGATACGTGAAACAACTTTATAGCAACAAATTAGACAACTTAGATAAACAAATACCTAGAAAGTGACAAATTACTTAAACTGATTGAAGAACATATAGAAAATCTATAGACCTACATACCTAAAACAAGTAAAAAATTGAACTGGTAATTTAAAAATCTTTCCACCGTGAAAAGCCCAGATCCAAAAGTCTTCACTGATGAATTTTACAAAACATTTATAAAATACGTAATACTAATCTTTCACAAACTCTTCCAGAAAATAGAGGAGGAAAGAACACTTCCCAACTCATTTTATGAGTCTGGTATTATTACTCTGATACCAAACCAGACAAGCATAAGAATAGAAAACTACAGACTAATATTCCTCAAAAACAAAAAGAAGAATAGATACAAAAATCTTCAACAAAATATTAGCAAACCAAATCTAGCATCATGTAAAAAAAAGTCTATATCATAATAGAATTTATCCCAGGAATATAGGGTTGGTTTAATATCCAAAAATCAATTACTGTAATAGCATATTAATAAAAGTCAAAACCCATATATAGGATAATCTCAAGAAAGGCAGAAAAGCCCTTGACAAAATCCAACATGCATTTGTAATAAAACTGGGAATAATAGGGAACTTTTATTCCCAGACATCTGATAAAGGACATCTATGAGGAAATTTGTGGCTAAAATTTTTTTTTAAGATTTTATTTATTATTAGAGATCATACAAGCTGAAAGTAGGGACAGCGGGAGAGGAACAAGCAGACTCCCCACTGAACAGAGAGCTTGATGATGTGGGACTCTATCCCAGGACCCTGAGATCATGACCTGAACCAAAGAAGGTGTGTAACTAACTGAGTCATTCAGGCGCGCGCCCCTGGCTAAAATCATCTTAATGTTGAAAGACTGAATACATTCCCCCTAAGACTGGGAACAAGTCAAGGATGTCTGCTCCACCACTTTTATTCAATATTGAAGGTACGATTGCACTGGAAGTGCATCCAGGCAAGAAAAAGAAATAACAGGCATCCAGATTGAAAAAGAAGTAGTAAAACTGTCTTAATATGGAGATATGATCTTATAATATAGAGAAAATCTTAAGGATTCCACATAAATACTAGAACTAGTAAACAAGTTATACAAGATTAATATACACAAATCAATTGTACTTCTAAGTAATGAACAATCTAAAAATGAATGAAGAAAATTCCATTCATAATAGACTCTAAAGAAATAAAGTAGTACAAGATTTTTACTCTGAAAACTATAAAAACATTGCTGAAATAAATGTAAGAAGATGTAGATGAATGGAGAGACATTTCATCCTCATGGATTGTAAGATTTAGGATCAGTAAGATGGTAATTCTTGGGGTACCTGGCTGACTCAGGACTCTGATCTCAGGGTTGTGAGTTCAAGCTCACATTGGGTGTAGAGCTTACTTAAAAAATAAATAAGATTACAGAGGACAAACCACTTAAATTTTTTTTAAAGATGGCAGTTCTCTCCAAATTAATCTATAGATTCAATGCAATCCCTACCAAGATTCCAGCTGCCTTTTTTGGACCAATTGTCAAGCTGATTCTAAGATTTATATGGAAATACAAATGACCCAGAATAGCCAAAACAATCTTGAAGAAAAAGTTGAAAGACGCACATTTTGAATTTTAGAACTTACTACAAAACCACTGTAATTAAGACTGTGTGTGCTGGCATGGGATAGGCGTATAAATCAAAGGAACAGAATTTTAAGAGTCAAGAAATAAAACCTTGCATTATGATCAGTTGATTTTCAACAAAGGTGCCAAGCTAATTCAGTGCTTCAGGAAAAGATAGTCTTTCTGATAAATGATACCTGAGCAACTGGATATTCACAGGCAAAAAGATGAATTTATAGACCCTTATATCAAAAAAAAGGAACTCAAAATGGATTTGAACCTGAATGTAAGAGCTAAAATTATGTATAATTCATAGAAGAAAACATGGGAGTAAATCTTCATGCAAACCAAAGCACAAGTGATTTTTTAAAAACTGATAAAATGGACTTGATTAAAATTAAAAACTTTTGTGTATCAGATGATACCATTAAGAAAGTGAAAAGAAGGGGAATCCCTGGGTGGCTCAGCGGTTCAGCGCCTGCCTTTGGCCCAGGGTGTGATCCTGGAGTCCCAGGATCGAGTCCCACATCGGGCTCCCGGCATGGAGCCTGCTTCTCCCTCTATGTCTCTGCCTGTCTCTGCCTCCTCTCTCTCTCTCTCTCTATGTCTATCATGAATGAATAAATACATAAAATCTTTAAAAAAAATTTTAATAAAAAAAAAGTGAAAAGAAAAACTACAAAATGAGAGAGGATATTTGTAAATTATATCTGATAAAGGATTTGTGCCCAAAATATATAAAGAACTCACTTTATATAAACATAATTATATGTACACAAATAACCCAATTTAAAAATGGGCAAAATATCTGCATAGACATTCCACCAAGGAAGAGAATAGAAATGATTAATAGGTATGTGAAAAGGTTCAACATAATTAGTCATAAGGAAAATATAAGTCAAAACCAAAATGAGAAACCACTTCACATCCACTAAGATGGCTGTAATTTAAAAACAAGTAACAAGTATTGGCAAAAATGTGGAGAAACTGGACCCTTACACATTGCTTATAGGGATGTAAAATGGTTCTGCCACTTTAGAAAAGTTTGGTAGTTTCTTAAAATGTTAAACATAAAAAATTTTTAAAAAGTTAAACATAGAGCTATCATCTGACCAGCCATTCCACTCCTAGGTATCTGTCCAAGAGAAATGAACATCACCACACAAAGATTTGTACATGAATGCTTATAACAGAATAATGCTTATATTATTCATAATATACCCCAAATGGAACCAGTACGAATATCAATTGGTAAATGAATAAACAAATTGTGGTTGTATCTATACAATAGAATACTATTTGGTAATGAAAGGAACAGAGTACTAATATGTGCTACACATAGATGAACCTTAAAAAAAAAAGTACACTAAGTGAAAAAAGCCAAACCAAAAGACCACTTGTATGATTCTATTTATATTAAATGTCCACAATAAGCAGGTCTATAGAGACAAGTAGATTAGTGGCTGTGTGCGACTGGCAGTAGGAACAGAGAGAGACTGCTAGTGAGCAGGAAGGATTTTTTTTAAGATTGTATTTATCTGAGAGACGGCACAAGCAGTGGGGAGGAGGCAGAGAGGGAGAAGCAAACACTGAGCAGGGAGCCTGATGTGGGGCTTGAGACCAGGACGTTGAGATCATGACCTGAGCCCAAGGTAGACACTTAACTGACAGTCACCGAAGTACCCCAGCAGGAAGCATTTTTTTAGGATGATGAAAATGTTCTAAAGTTGGGTTGACTGGTGGCATAGCGGTTTAGCACTGCTTGCAGCCCGGGGTATGATCCTGGAGACCCGGGATCGAGTCCCACGTCGGGCTCCCTGCGTGGAGCCAGCTTCTCCCTCTGCCTGTGTCTCTGCCTTTCTCTCTCTGTGCCTCTATGAATAAATAAATAAAATCTTTACAAATAAAAAAATAAATAAGTAAAATAAAGTTGGGTTGATTGCACAACTCCATAAATTTACTAAATATCACTTAAACTTTAAGTGAATTTTATGATATGTAAATTATATCTCAAAGCTGTTAAACTTAAAAATAGAAGAAAACTCATCAAAGGACACACTAAAACCTTTTTAAATGGTGAAACTTTTAGAAGTTTTCTTTATAGGAGTGCCTGGCTGGCACAGTTGGCTGATCTTGAGGTTGTGAGTTCAAGTCCCATGATCGTAGAGCTTACTTTAAAAAAGGAAAAAGTTTTCTCTATAAAATTAGGAAGGGAGGGACGCCTGGGTGGCTCAGCAGTTGAGTGTCTGCCTTCAGCCCAGGGCGTGATCCTGGATCCTGGAATCAAGTCCCATCAGACTCCCTGTGTGGAGCCTGCTTCTCCCTCTGCCTGTGTCTCTGCCTCTTTCTCTCTGTGTCTCTCGTGAATAAATAAATAAAATATTTTTTAGAAAAATAAAAATAGGAAGTGAAAACATGGCTGCTATTACTACTACTGTTTACCATTGTTTTGGAGTGGGAGAAGGCAGGGTCCTAGTTGGTGCAGTAAAATAAATATATAAGGATTGGAAAGGAAAAAATGAGAAAATCGCATTCACAGATGATATGATTGTATGAAGGGTTGAAAATTTTTCTGTAAAGAACTGTGTAATACTTTAGTGTGCTGTATAGTCTCTGAGCAGCCATAGACAATTCACAAATGCTGTGTTCCAACTAACTTTCTGTATAGAAACAGGGAATAGTCCAGACTCGGCCCATAGAGCAGTTTTCTGAATGGTCTACATAGAAAACCATAGAAATTTTGTTGACAAATTCTCAAAATTCATAAGAGTTCATCAAGATTGCTTGACAGAAGATCAAAATGTAAAAATCAGTAGTGTTCCTGTTTATCACAACAAATAATTTAAAAATTTTAAAGTATATAGTTTTTAGTAATTAAAAATAATTTTTAAAAACCAGGATAGTAGCAGATTAGACACAACTTTAAAAAATAGATTATCTATATTGTAACAGAAATGAAGAGATAGAATACATGAAATAGCAGCTATGAGACAGGGAGAGTCAAATATGAAGGTTTCAAACATCTATTTGGAGCTCCAAAAGAATAAAGAAAATAGGTAAGAGACAATATTGGAAAAATGGTGGAGATTTCCCCAGAATATATGAATAATATGAATCTTAAGATTTTTTTAAAGATTTTATTTATTTATTTATTCATGAGAGACACAGAGAGAGGCAGAGACATAGGCAGAGGGAAAAGCAGGCTCCATG